TAGGACAAATTTTTTAAGTGCGTTGATTTGCCGCTGAATAGAAAATTCCTAGGTACTCGAGAATTTTACTATTTTACTGCCAATCGACACGCTTGAAAACTTTGCCGTACGACAAATGCAATACCAGCCTTAGCCTAATATTACATTTGTCATACGACAAATTGTTTAAGCGCGTTGATTGGCCGCTGAATAGAAAATTCCGAGGGGAAAACCGCTGAGGGCATTGTGGTGCACAGATTTGTGACATTACTGGGCATTACTAGGCATTTTTTGGGCATTAGGCCTTGCTGGGACGTTATAAAGATAAAATAAGGTAAAAAATAAGATAACATAAGATAATAAGATAAAGTAATGCCCACTGGACATTAGTGGGCATTGGTGTATAAGATTTTGGTCAGCGGTTGTCCCCTCGGAAAATTCCCAGATACTCGAGAATTTTACTATGTTGCAGCCAACCGACTTGAAAAATTTGTCGTGCGACAAATGTAATACCAGCCTTAGATTCTGCGAATGTAAACGCTCGCCTCTGTCCGCTGCGGGTCCCGTCGACGAATAAAAATATCGCGCATAGTCGATCAATAATCAACGCTGATTAATTGAGCGTAAACGATTTTTATATTTCTTTTGTAAGGAGACTCCGTTGATCGCGTTCGTCGCTCTCGTCGTGATATTTTTACGAAATCCCGAAAAAGGGATTGTTTTGCGAAAAGCCTAATTGCCAAACGCAGCGTGCAAACTTCGCCTCGAGACTCCCGCAGCGTTTTACAGATCGCTTTCCTCTCTGATTCCAGGACTCTCTTCAAGAAGTCTCCGAAGATAAATGGGAAGGATATAGATCTGTATTTACTGTATGTGGTGGTGACCGCTCATGGAGGATGGATTAAGGTGAGTGTGCCTTCCTCTTTTTTTATCTCCAAACGAAAGAGTTTTAATTAAACATTGCGACGCGTCCAATTAGAGCCGGCGCACCTAATTATATTTAAAAAAAAATAGAGGGCCGTGCGTATCTACGTTTAATATTACGGTTTAGTATTAACGATGTTTTTAATATCCCGTTGCGAGGTATTGCTTAACAAGATGCGCGGAAAAAACATTTCGCGGCGTTGTTGCACTGCGAAAAATAACGTTCCGCTGCACGTATGAAGTCGCACATCGTGGCGTAGTTTATAATTAACGATTAAGGAATACGGCGCGCGCCGGCGATAAATAATTGTTTGTAAAATCACCGCGGCCGCCATCTCGTTTTGATTAACGTCGCGTTTTGATTAAAAGGTCCACGTCGGGCGGGACGCGAAATGAATTTTCGCGAGCCTCGCTTTTAATTAGCATCCGGTTGCAATTGATTTTGCCGGAACCAAAGTCGACGTTACGTAAAAACGCGGCGAGCGCCCGAGGATAATATCGAGAATACCGCGGAAGGTAGAAATTGTATCGATAAATGTTGCATATATTGCATTGAGAGAGAGAGAGAGAGAGAGGGCCGCGCGCCATTCTATTTTTTTACGTTAAATTACATTTAATGAATAAATGTATGTATACGCACATATACGAGTACATTTTGATCCATAATGTGAGATGCAATGCTTGACTATTCTCGAAGCGTACGGATTTTGTCGACGTATCGGGTCATCGCGTAAATAATGCGGAGTAAAAAGGAGCTTGATTTATCCTCCAGCTCGAAACCGAGAGGACCTTTATCGCCAAAGAGCTGAAAATTTAAGATCAAGATGGGAGAAAGCGAATAATAACGGAAAATGTACGTTTTGGATTCTAATTAAAACGTCATTTTTTCTTCCGTTTCATCTCGAAATATCTCTAAAAAGGTATCCGATATTTTGCGAACTTTACAAACAACGATTGGATTATCTCAAATTAAGCGGAGTAAAAAAAGAACTCGATGTGTTCTTCAGCTCGAAACCGAGATACTTTTATCTCCAATGAACTGAAAATTTAAGATCAAGATGGGAGGAAGTGAATAATAACGGAAAATGTACGTTTTGGATTCTATTTAAAACGTCGTTTTTTCTTTCATTTCATCTCGAAATATCTCTAAAAACTACCCGATATTTTGCGAAAATTTGCAAACGACGGTCGGATCATCTCGAAACCGAGAGACTTTTATCGCCAAAGAGCTAAAAATTTAAGATCAAGATGGGAGGAAGTGAATAATAACGAAAAATGTACGTTTTGGATTCAAATTAAAACGTCGTTTTTTCTTTCGTTTTTTCTCGAAATATCTCTAAAAAAAAGTATCCGATATTTTGCGAAAATTTGCAAAACGACGATCGATTGAACCAGTCGGTTTCCATGAAAAAAAAAAAAAAAAAACAAGTGGAACCATTTTGTTCGCAACCATCGCGGAGTCCGTCGACGGATCTGCTCGCACTTGCGGAGCCTTCCGGAGCGTATCTCGATCTCCCAGCGATCGAGGGTATCTTTCAGGCGTTACGCAAGAGCGTCGCGAGCGCGTACTACGCGATTTCCGAAATGCCTTCCGATCTCGTCGCGGCTCGCGCGCTCTCGGCGATAGTACCATTATTAGTACGACTAACTATAACTTACGAGAATTTGGCAACTCGGCGAGGATAGCGCGGGGCAGAGACGTGGCCCAGATTCCGCGTGAGAGGGCGAGAGCTCCGTACGGCGGCTTTAATTCCATCGGCGATAATCGCGCGTCCTCGCGCGCGCGTTACGGCGAGATTAAAACGCTCGCTTTCACCTATCGCGCCGCTAAAACAGCGACAAATCGGCACCTGGAAGTGGAATTGACCGCGCGCGGTTCGCCTCGGCGTGTAAGTCCGTGGCGGACGAAGAGGAAAAATAGAGAAACGGAGAGATTATGAGGCATAGCCGCGTAACGAGAGTAGAGACGTCGGCATTCGCTCTCGTTCCAGGAAAATAATATACAACGGGAGAAATATTCCCCAGGCATCCCAAATATTCGCCGCTGTTTCCCCAAATTCGACGGTCGACCGCTTTTTCCCTTTTATCCATTTTTTTTTGCTCTTCTACTCCCCCCCCCCCCTACCCCACGTTCGACGATTACGTCCAAACTTATCTCGTGCGCGGAAAGGGAGAGAGAAAGACGGGAGGAGGAGAAAGAAAAACGTGACGGATCGCGCGGCTCGATCTCGCGGACATTTCTCGTCGATAACGCGAATTGTAGCGCGCCTTCGCGGCCGTGCACCCGCGTCGCATTAATTTTCCGAGCGCGACACGTCTCGCGCCGTGAAACACGCCAATTGTCGCCGGTTTCTTTCTTTACGAGCCCGCGGCCGCGGCGAGCGAGAGGGCGATTTTGCCGCGATGTTTACGACCCGATTGATTATCGGCCTGACTCTCGTAACGACGAAGGTGGGTTCTGCGCGTTTGGTGAAACCGCGGCTGGCGATAAGTGACCGCGCGCGGTTGTCGCCAGTGGTTATCACGCTCGTGCGTTTCTGCCGTCGCCGCGCCGGCGGTCTTCATCGAGTGCCGTTAAGGCCGAATCAGACTATAGCAATTGCAGACTCGGGATTTCATTGGGATTGGCGATGGACGATTCACCTCTAACCAATGAGAGTCGATTAAATCGCTGCTTCGCTCTCATTGGCTAGAAGACAATCGCCAATCCCAATCCAATCCGACTCGGCAGTTGCTGGTCTGATTCGGCCTTTAATCGGGTTTGATAACATCCGTAGTTAAGGGACTGGCCAATCGCAGTCATTCCATTCTTCTGAGGCATAGTTGTGATTGGCAAGTTTTATAACTGCGGATGTTATTAAACGCGATTAAAGGTGACGTGTAAGCGTATACCAATGCGGATTAACTTTGATCTCGGTTTAACTTGCTTCTTCTGGTTTCAGGAATTAGAAACGAATAAAAATTTAGTTAAGCTTAGTTAAGCGGGTTGACTAATTTCAGTTTAACGATTAACCGACGTATGTGAAACTGACCCTGAAGGCCGACTCACAATCAGACTAGCAATTGCTGACTCGGATTGGATTGGGATTGGCGATTGACGATTGTCTTCTAGCCAATGGAAGCCGATTAAATCGCTGGCCGCTTTGCTCCGATTGGCTAAAGGACAGTTGTCAATCGCCAATTCCAACTTAATCGGAGTCAACAATTGCTAGTCTGAGAGAGGTTTTAAGAAGAAGATAAAAGGTAAGTTGAGCCGAGATTAAGGTTGATCTGCATTGGCGTACAAGTAAACGTCGCGGTCGTTCTCGGCCGAGCGGGAATCTCTCCAACGCGCCGGCGCGTCTCGCTTTCACGTGATATCGCGAAGATCGGACATAAGCAATTCTCGATTCGAATTCACCGCGGACTGATTCCGCGCCGTTCAAAAGCACCGCGCGCGCGCGCGCGAACGCGTTATCAGCCCGGAGGTGCGTCGCTCGTGCCTCCCGCGATGACATAACTCGCGTCTCGCGGCCTCTTCAACCTTCGGCGCGGGCTTCCCCGGGAAAAGAAACGTACCGGCGCCGACGATCGAGGACGTCGGTACAATGGAGGGAGGAGAGATGTCTGGGAAAAGGGGAGGGGACTCGGAGGAGTCGCCAACGCGTGTTGTCGTCCGAGGTTAATAACTCCTCCGGTTGTCAATCGTGCGATAATTACGACTGTCCTCGCGTCGGTTGTAACGATCTTAAAGTTTCAGGTACAATCGCCCTTCGACGTGTCCCGACATTGATTATCGAATTTCGATGGTCCAATATCCTTCGACTGCGATTCCAACGGATACATAGGATTACGATACGACGTGGTATATAATATAGCAGACATATATATATAAAATATGTGGATAATTAGTTGAACATATACGTACACATGCGCCAATAATGCCTTCCCGTATGAATTTGTGCATGTATCGGACACATTTGTACATACATGGAAAATGTATGTGTTCTATATGTGCCTAGACCTTATGACGATGCTCAGACCTTAGTTAACTCATTCTTCGTCTTTTTCAACGGGCCAGTTTCACTAACGTCGGTTAACTGTTCAGTCAACCCCCTATCTTTTTCTATCTTATTATCTAAAACTGGTCCGAAGAGTATGGAAGAAGACAAAGGATGAGTTAAGCTAAGGTTAAAGTTAAGCGACGTTGGAAAAACTGGGCTTTGGTGTACATGCGCGAGATGACCGGTTTGGGGCCGATCGCGCGATATCGGCCGCCTGGACGAAAGCATTAGAGGACAGCGCGGATGCGACGTGGGGTCAAGGTCGTTCGTGGAGGTGCCATACTAGGCGGGTGAGATAGATCATGAGGCCAATGGTAAAGAGAAAGAGGGAGAGAGGGAGAGCGCGTAGGAATAGGAGGAGGGAGGCCAGGGAAAGCCGGAGAAAGAGAACGAAGGGGGAAAGAGAATGGGAGGTAGGGAACGCGGGCGGTTCGAGGTGGAGGTGGCGGCGAAGGCCTTTCCCCCTCAACAAGTGTGATCGAAGCCCGAAGCTCGTCGCATAAACCGTATGACGTGCAAACTGGCCCGGCCGCGCCGCGGCCGGAATGCCTCGCTCGCGCAGCTGCTCTCTGGGTGCATCATCGGCGATGCCGTCGCCCGGCTACGTCACGCTATCGCCTGTCCCCCAGATTCTCGTGATGGATAAGCTACCCCGCCGAGTTTCGGAGACTCCGGCGAGGTGGCATCCGTTCCAAACGCGAGCCGAGCGTATCAGTTCTATATCCTTACGGCCTGTGTCCACCATGCTAGAGCTTGGTCCAAGTTCTAACATCGTGGACACCGGCCTTTACAATATAGGGTGTTACGAATAGGGTGTCCAACCGCTCGTATACAGGTAGAGCGGACTAAACTGAAAAGAAAAGTTGTTACCATTTTGTAAAATTTTCAATAGTTTTCGAGTGATAAATAACAACGTCTGGGCGAATGAACGCACGCGAG